TAGTCTCCGTATGTGTTTCAAAGAATTGCGTCTCGCAAACCGATATTGGCGTGCAGCTCTGCTTCGTGTCAGGAACTCGCGAATCCAGTCGCATTCGTTCACCTAGACCACGCGTGCTCGTCCCGCTCACCCTTTTTATCAGCTGACGTATTCACTGTACCACTAATTCCGTGGTGAATCTTCCACCAGCAGCAGTAACCGCAGCAGCCGCAGACTTTTGAGACGTCTCAAAAGGCAGCAGAAGTAGCCGCAGCAGCAGGAGCCGAAGCAGCAGGAGCATCACCAGCACCACCACCAGCGACAAATTTCTTCTCATCGTCCCGCTCTGACTCCACGACCTTTTCTCCCACCATGCATTTCTTATGAAGGGCCTCAAAATTCCTCCCTCCAGCACCTCTTCCCCCACCATGCACACCTCAACCTCGCTCTCCTCTCCTCTTCTCGCCTCCTCCTCTTCCTCCTCCTCCCCCTCCTCTTCCTCGCCTCCTACCCGCTCCTCTCGCTTTCGAATCCTTCCAATCTCCTCGTTTCTCCCAGGTCCATCAGCCGAATCATCACCACGTCTCCATCCCCACCCTCTGGTTCCCACGCGGCAACTATTTCTCTGCTGGCTATTCTCGTTCTTGCGCTGGTTCAAGCCTTCCGAGCCCTTTCTCGTCGATTTCATGGTTTCGAAAGGCCTGTCCAATGCCGACGTGTACCACAAAGTATTCCCCGTCTGGGTTTTTTCGCAGCTGCCCGCGCTGCTGCTCGTCAGCCTTCTCTCGAAGCTCATTGGATGCAAAATCACCGTCATTCTCGGCGCTATTCTCGGATTCGCCACTACCGCACTGACAATAGCAGCTCCAACGGTAACATCTCCTCCCCATCCCCCCTCTTATCATTCCACTGACACAGCAGCAGCCACAGCTACATTCAATGCCACTGCTGCTGCCCAAACACCAGACACGCTCCTTCCTCTCACCTTCCTTCAGACCAGTCAAGTGACCTTTGCTCTCTCCTTCGCCGCTCATTCTGCCTTCGCCGCACTCTCCCTCGCCTCCCTACCCCGCTCGCACTACACCCTTGCGTCCCACGGCAACCATGCTGCCACGCTGGCAGGATCCTGCCTCTCAGGCCTGCTCGGGCGAGTCATGGCGCGCCACGTGTCGCTTCTGGTGCTGTTCATTGTTTCGCTGGTGTGTCAGTTTCTGTCTGTTGTTGTGGCCGTGCTGCTGCGGCCTGCTGCTGCTGATGTTGGGTTAGAGACCGAGAAGGGAGCAGAGTCAAGGGCACGTACAAGAGAAGAATCGAGGAGAGTTTCTAGAAACAAGTGTAGAGCTGAATCCGGAGGGGAAAAGGGAGCAGACACGAGATCAGAACAGGGGCACAAGCACATAACCTCTGTGCGGTACCCATGCCTGACTCTCCACCCCGTATCCACTCTCCTCCGCTCCATCCTAATCGCAGCAGCATCAGTAGCAGCTGACGTGTGCCATGCTTTAACTGCTCCCACTGTGCTGAGCTGGTCTTGCTGGGCTGTGCTGGCCAACAGCGTCCATCGCATGGTCATGACCTACTGGCTCTCTCTCGTCAAGGAGCTAGCAATGCATCAGCAACAGCCGGCGTCCCTGCATCTCATGCCGTCTCAGTATGCTCCGGTATCCTCTGTCGCAACCTCGCTCTCGTCGTCACTCTCTGATCCTGTATTCTCCACGGCTGTCTTCCCTGCTGCTTCGCACGCGGACTCTGATGGCCTTGCAGCAGGACCAGGAGGAATGTCAGCAATTGCAGCAGCGGCAGTGGCAGCAATAGCAGTTGTAGCAGCATCTGGGACCAGGGGAGGCATTACTGGCCGGGCATTGCCCTCGCCACCTTTACTCAATGTTCCCCACTTTCCTTTTCTCACACCACCGGTGGGAAGTTTGATCAAGGGAACTTCTTTGATCCATAAAGCAGCTCCTGCGTGGGAGCCAACATCTCTTGGGCTTAGATCTGCTGCGTTTGAATTGGGTTCTGCAAGCAGCAATTCTCGTTCAGAGAGGTCTCAAGACAGTGGGCTTGGGGACTGGCACCCGGGTATGCATCGGAGGATGCTGGTGTATTCACTGATGGAGTCACAGTTGGTAGCAGCAGAGGCAGGAGTAGCAACTGCAGGTACAGCAACTGCACGAGAGTGGACTGATGGCAAAGCGAGTGCATCCAGATCATTGTTATCAGGTACAGCAGCCGCAGTATCAGCAGCTGTGGCAGCAGAAGCCACAGCAGACAGAGCAGAAGCAGCAGCAGGCAGCACAAAAGTGGCAGCAGACGAAGAAGTAAATGGAGCAGAAGCAGCAGCAGTAGCAGAAGAAGAAGCAGAAGAAGAAGCAGCTGCCACAGGAATAGCAGCAGCAGCCACTCCCATAGCAGGAGCAGCAAAGTCAGAAGCAGTTTCAGATGCAACTAGTGCATGCTACATCCTGATGAACCTGACAGCTGCTCTGGCCATTGTTGCTGCTGCATATATCCCAGTCAACTATGCCCACACACTCATCCAGATCGTTTCAGCCTTTGTCTGCGGCCTTTCTCTGGTTACCACCAGCCGTGCCGATTTGTCCTGGGTTACGTACGCAGCTTTGGTGGTATACCACTCGTTGCATGAAGCTACTGGGGCCGTTTGTGCGGCTAGGGTCGCTGCACACGTGCGGCAGTCAGCAGTGAATTTGATGCAATTACCGTCACTCGCAACAACAGAAGATGCACGCGCACCGACATGCCTATCAATGGCACTTACGCCAGAAGTGACAACACAAGCAATATCACCAGCACGCACATTGGCGCCAGCATCTGCACCATCATCGCCAGCATCAACGTTAACATTAACACCTTCGCCATTTACAACATTAACACCTTCGCCATTTACAACATTAACACCTTCGCCATTTACATCTACTAATGTGCCGACGCCAACACCGACATGACCTAGAGCAGCAACTGACCTCCCTGTTTGCAGCAACGGCAGCTACATCAGTGGTGCTGCAGTCTGCAGTGCAAGCTGGGTTGCTGTTATTCCTTGGAGGATCGGTGGCCAGGTGGTTCCTAGTAGACGGGTTTGCGTTGCTGTCTCTTGCAGTGTTGCTAGGTGGAGCAGCCATTTATAGAGCACTGATAGCGTTAGTTCGTGGTTAGGCTTCCTGTTCGTTATGATAAGACAAATGTATAGGTGATGTTTTTTTAGTGCGGTCAATACGTGTAGCAAGTTTGATGAGTGCAGTGCATTTATCTACTGTTTTCAATCAGCAATATATGATTTACTGCTTTTACTCCCCAGGTTGCTTGACTCTGTATAGCATGCATTGAAGGGTCATAGTGGGGTGAAACAAATTAGAGTAATTCGTCCTAGCAGGCAGGTGAATGCCTATAGCGAGAATTGTGGTCCTTCTCAAGAAGGTTTGGGAATATGACACAAGTGAATGATGTACTGTAGGAAGGGAAGGACAAGCAGAAGGTTTGGGTGGAGCGAAGTGGAAGGGTGTGAAACATCAGGCGCGGTTTCAGCTAAGGACGTGGGCCCAATCGACTTTGATCGGCGCGATCAGAGGCGATCAAAAACTTCGAGGAAGGCGGGAAGCAGATTTCAGGCAATCAGGGGCAATCAGCTGATCGCGATCAGCTGATCGCGCCAACTCAATCAACCGCATCAAACAGCCCGATCAGACCCGATCAGACACAATCAGCCCCAATCACTTGATTGCATGTGATCGGCGATCTGGGCGACGTACGCGAAATATAACACGCCTCGCCATTAGGTCTCGAAAATCCTTGCGAATACACCCAGATCCGCGAGAACTGTGTGTTGGGACATGATGTTGGCGACATTACCACGATACTGAGATTCGTCCGTATCGCCAAAGTTGGGATGCAACTACCAGGTAATGGGCCGACAGTTTTCATGCAAGAGCGCAAAACATTCGAAGAAAATCATCTCTGATCGGGCGGCGCGAGAAAAACGATCACAAGCAATCCGACCAGACCCAAACCGATCCGATCAGAGCCTATCAAAGTCGATTGGGACCACGTCCTAAAGCAACTTTGCTGGTAACTCGGAATCGCGGAACGACGATTTTCCAGTGACGAAGTTCGTTATAACTCTAGCTACGCCCGTGACAGAAACTCATATTTGATGCCCTGATATGGTACTGCAATGTAGTCGGTCCATCTAGACTCCAGAACCATTATCATGCAACACAGTACGTCAGTTAGTCATTTCAGTCAGTTTTGACCTAGTCACACACGGTAAGTAAGAGGGTTGTCCGGAAACCTGCTTCTGCAACGTCTGTCATTCTCTCTTTCTCCACTGCCACACCATCCCAGTCGGTCCGATCTCGTCCAGAAGATGGCCATGGGGTGTTTTGCGATCAGCTACTGGTACGGCCCGATCGTGTTTGCGAGGCGCTAGCAGCAGGGGATTTTGTCCTCGCTTCGTTTTTCCGTGGAACTTACGGTAGTTGCTGATTGTTTCTGAGGCAATACCCGTGTCGTGTCGTGTTAACCCGCTTTTAGTTAGCGTTTAAGGCTTAGCTGTTAGTGCTTCGCGTCGCTGCCGTAATCTCCTCGTCATCCATCCGAGACCTCCAAGCCGTCGTGCTCTTGCGTGTTAGTGCGAAGATTAGGGGTAAACTCTGTCTGAATGCACGTCTCGTACTGCTTGAATCAAGTCCCGAGCAAACTTGTCTTTCTCTCTTCCTCTCACTCCTCCCTGCTTTTATCTCGCCTATCCACTGCTGCTTTTACCCAACAGCGTCCGAGCCCCTTTCTTTGTTCTTTGTTTTTTTCCTCCGTCGACAGCGGCATCTTTTTTTTTAACCTTTCGTCGATTTAAATCTCGCCTATCACTAGCGCTCCTGGCCTCTTGTAATCGTTCATAGAATCCCGAACCATCGCTTTGCCGTCCCTAGGCGATCCTCGATCCTAGCCATCCGGACAATCCTAGCCCTCCCCAGTGAAATCCAGCCGTAGATCCGGACAGATTTCCAGCCATGGGGTCTGCTTACAATCCTTCCGCCTACTACAATTCACAGCACCACCAGCAGCAGCAGCAGCAACCGCCGCAGCAGCCGTCGGCTGGTTCCCAGGCGAACACCCGACAGTTTCTGAACGGAATTTTGGAGCAGAGAGGTCCGGGGGCTTTGCCTTATAACGAGGGCGACAAGTGGCTTATCCGCGAACAGCTGGCGTTCACTACTCAGACCTTCTCTGGTCTGCAGGTTCGTCCGATTATTTGTTGCTTTCCGTCTATATGCGTTATAGGTAGGGATGCCTTGGCGGGTGACGTTCCTGCTTTTAACAATAATAATAATAACGATAATAATAATAATAATAATAATCATCATCATCATTATTATGCAGATGCTGGTCTTGCGTCCTCCCGTCTTTTCCGTATCCCCACCCACCTTTCCCAGTTCTCACGCGTCCCTCACCCGTCAATTTGCTGTTGGATCTCTTTAGGAAGGGGGGATTTCTTGTAATTCCGACTGCGCGCAGTCTCGTTGGCAACACGCAGCTGATCTAGCTTGTATGGCGGGGAGACTCCCTCATAACCCCGGATAGTTGGGAACGCATTAAAGCCAACTCTCGCCCATTTTAAGTCTTAAAACACACTCCGCCCCGTGTCCCTCCCCCTTGTCCCTCCCTACCCTTCCTCGCTATCCCTCCTCCTGTCTTTTCGTAACGCCCTCTCCAGGTCCGTCCCGCCACGTTCACGCACAACGACGGGCGACAGGTGCAGCTATTGCAGCTCGAAGGCACCATACCTATGTGGTACAAGGAGGTTAAGTACAATATCCCCATCACCATGTGGCTACTCGAGCAGTTCCCGCGCGCCGCTCCCCTCGTTTATGTCACGCCCACGCGGGATATGATCATACGGCCGAATCACTCGCACGTGAACGCCTCGGGATTGGTCGACGTGCCGTTTCTGCGCGAGTGGGTGTACCAGCGCTCGACTGTAGTCGACCTGTTGCAAGTTTTGTCGGTCATGTTCGGGCAGGAGCCGCCGCTGTACTCCCGCCAGCCCGCGCATGCGGCGGCTGCGACGCAGGCGCGCCCGCCAGGTGCGCGGACCGGCGGCCCTGGCGGAGGAGATGTCCGCGCACAGCAGCAGCATCACCAACAACCGCAACACCATCAGCAACAGATGTCACCTACTCCACAAGTGTTTTCCGGCGGTGCTGCCCCCGCCCCCTTATCCCCGGCCTTCCAGGGCACTAATCCCATGCACATGCACGGTCCCCCTTCCTCGGGTTTAGATGGTGCGCGGATTGGGCCAGCAGGGCCGGGCGGGAGAGAGAGAGGCATCAGCGGAAGCGGCAGTGGTGGTGGTGGAGGGGGAGTGGTGGGAGGAGGGGTCGGTGCGTACGCGCAGCAGCAGCAGCATCAGCAGCAGCAACATCAGCAACAGCAGCAACAGCAACAGCAACAGCAGCAGCAGCAGTACGGGCAGTATAAGGGAACGTTTGCACGGTCTGGTGCTGCCCCGACAGGAGGCGCAGCAGCAGGCGCAGCAGGAGCAGCGCCGACAGCAGGAGGCACAGGGGGAGCGGGAGGCGCGGCGGTAAGAAGCGCGTCCGGACAGGGAGCAGGCGCAGGAGGCGCTGGAGCAGCAGCAGCAGCAGGGGCGGCCGCGGCGGCGGCGGCGGCAGGGAGAGCAGAATCTGGGAAGAGCAAGGGCGAGGAGGCGAAGGAGGTGTTTAGAAAGGCGGCTGTTATATCCCTGTCGGTGCAGCTGAGCGCGGACGTGAGTGAGAGCTTGCAGACGGCGAATCGGCTGATGGAGGAGCAGCTGGGGCTGCAGCAGATGCTGGGCGCGCGCAAGGAGCAGGCCAGCGGGGTGGTGAGGGAGCTCGAGCGGGAGAAGCAGGCGCTGGAGGAGTCGCTGCAGGTGAGAGGGAGGGAGTTTGGGGTGGTTGGGAACGGTGCTGCAGGTGAGAGGGGTTTGGGGCGTGGGAAAAGGTGTTGCGGGTGAAAGGGTTGGGGCGTGGGGAATGGTGTTGCGGTGAAAGGGTTGGGGCGTGGGGAATGGTGTTGTGGTGAAAGGGTTGGGGTGTGGGGAAAGAAGCTGCAAATGAGTGCTCATGCGTGAACTGGAGCTGGAGGGGCCGGTGGTAAGGTAAAAATGGAAACATTCAGACGACAGTGAAGATGTTGCCCGCCTTGAAATAGAAAGGATTGCTTGCAGAGAGGTGGAACTTGTTGCTCGTGTGGTGTGGGAAGCTTGTGGGAGCTGGTGTCGTGGGGAAGTCTTCCCCGTTAACCAGAGTGTTTCTGACTGCTGCTCGCTCGCTTGGAGCTGGGCAGAGTGGGTGGGGGGAAGGTGGGGTGGGGGGGTTGAGATTGAGAGAAAAGGTCCAGGGGAGGATGGGGATAAGTGGATGAACAGAGGAAGGCGGTTTTGATCTGTCTCTCTCCGTTCCCCCACCCGGTTATCTGCCGTTTCTTCCCGTGCACTCCCCCTCTCCCATTCCGGTTCTTCTCGCTTGCTACTCACTTTTTTTTGTCTGTCTACCCCACCCCCACTTATTGGTCATTGTGTGTGGGGCATGATGTATGGGTGATCTATCTATGGTTCGTGTATGGGTGATGACGCATGGTTGATGATGTATGTGCAACAATTTGCATGCTTCAATACGTACTGTCGCTGGTGCAGGTCCAACAAACCAACGCCGATGTCATGGAATCATGGCTAGCACAGAACGCTTCCTCCTCCACCACCAGTACCACCACCACAACAACAACCACTACCACCGTCACCACCAGCGGCACCACCACCACCACCTCCTCTACCCAACCCACCGACACCGCTGCAATCGACATTGATTCGGCCTTCCAGCCCTGCGATTCTCTCTCGGCTCAGCTGCTCAAGCACACGGCAGCAGACCTAGCTATAGAAGACGTGCTTTACTCCCTAGACCGGGCCCTTCAGGAGGAGCGGGGGCACGATGAGTACGACCCTTCATCTGCCAACTCGCGCCGGCGAATCCTGACCGTTGATGCGTACCTGAGGCATGTGAGGATCTTGGCCAAGGAGCAGTTCCTGCAGCGGGCAACGGCGCTGAAAGTGCAAGCAGTGCAGAGGAGTGCGAGGGTGAATCAGATGGCTGAGAGAGCGGTCTCCGGGCATGGACAGGGGCACGTGCAGACGCATGGACATGCTCATACTCTCTCGTCTGCTGCTGCTGCGGCGGCATCTTCAGCTGCTGCTGCTACGGCCGTTGGACTGGGGGCAGGCAGCAGGGGCTTGTGAGAGGGGAGAGTGGGTTGTGCTGTCGCTGGCGCTGCTGCTGGCCGTTGCTGTGGTTGCTGCTGCTAGTGCTGACGGTGGTGCTGGTGGTGGTTCTGGTGGTGGTGCTGTTGGTGGTGGTGCTGGTGGTGGTGGTGGTGCTGCTGCCACACTGCAGGACATATGAAGTAAAGAAACCACCGGAGAGCAGTTTCTAGGATGTTTTGGGTGGGTGGGTTGCTTGTTCTAGCAGGAATGGGTAGGCAGGTAAATCTGGTGCATTCACTGCATTGCATGATGACATGTTAAAACCAGAATATAAAATAATGAACCCTGTCCCAACTTGAAATGGCACTGTTCCAAAGAAAATGAGCAGGGGCTTGAACAAATGTGATTGGCTTTCGCCAATCTTGTGCTGTCTTGTTCCCGCCAAAATGTTTTTCCATCCGGATCTCCCTCGTCGCACGTTTTCGTGCTACACCTGCACGACGGTTGCCTGGCGATGGTTTCCGTCGCCAGGCCAACGTTGGTTTCAAGTTGGAACTGGGTTTCATGACCACCTGCTCACCATCCCGAAGTCACTAGTTATATTCCTAGCATATTTTAGCTGGCAACAATAGGTGTTTGTGGCCAAGGTAAGTATCGCGCTCGACCCTCCAGGAATGCGTAAGACTGTCGCGTAGCATAGTATCGTAAGAATTTCCCTTCCGCAGGCTTTCGTTACCTTTCCGCATGGGCTAGTTTCCTGTATCGCGCCTTCCCCATCGCTTTCGTCCGATGTCCGTTCCCCTCCCATCACCTTCGCGGGTCTCTCTCCTCCCCCCCCCGTCGCCTTCTATCTTCCCTCCCTCCCCGTCACCCTCGTTCTCCCCTCCCTTCCTGTCGACAAGTTTTCTCCCTGTCGCCTTTCCCATCGTCGTCCTCGTCGACGGTTGCTCTCTCCCTGAAATGCCCGCCTCCTAACGCCTTTCTTCTCTCCCCTCCCATCGCCTGCTCGCTCTCCCTCCCGTCGCCTTCTTCTCTCCCCTTGGTCGCCTGCTCGCTCTCCCTCCCGTCACCTTCTTCTCTCCCCTCCCGTCGCCTTCGCGCTCTCTCCCCCGTTGCCTTGGCGATCTCCCTCCCGTCGACTGCGCGCTCTCCCTCCCGTCGCCTTCGCGCTCTCTCCCTCGTGGCCTTCTCGCTCTCCGTCCCATCGCATGGGCGCTCTCCCTCCCGTCGCCCTTGCAATTTCCCCTCTCTTCCCGTCGCCCACTTCATCTCCTATCGCTCACGTCCTCCCTTCCCGTCGGCATCGCGCTCACGTTCCTCCCTCCACTCGACATCGCCCTCACGTCCTCCCGTCCCACCCCATCGTTCGCCTCCTCTCTCCCATCCCGTCGTTCACCTCTTCTCCCCTCCCACCCCATCGTTCGCTTCCTCTCCCCTCCCATCCCGTCGTTCGCCTCCTCTCCCCTCCCATCCCGTCGTTCCTCCTCTCTCCCCTTTCTTCCCGTCGCTTTTGCACTCTCCCCTCCCATCCGCTGGTTATTACCTTGCCAAACTTATTTTCTCCACCCTTTTTTTTTAACTTCTTTCAGCCCCAAGTCCAAGGATACGTATTTTAGCGCAGCTCTGCTCTCATCTCTTGCATATGGGTGTGTGCTGGATTTTCCCTGTGTTGTTGATTGATGTGAGTTTTGGTGAAGTCACATGAGCGCTCGAGTGAATACAGGCATTGCAACCCCTTGCGCCAAATTCGCACACAAGTATGTGTGAGTTGTGTGTGAGTTTCACAGCCAATCAGAATTGTACACATGGTCAAAATGTTCTCCGTTCACAATGAGACTCGTATGGAGTGGGAAAATAAAAAGCACAGCACTTCCAACTTTCCGAAGTGTTCCCAAAAAAACTCTGTTTTCAAGTGGACCCAACTAGAAGGGGGGGGTCACTATTTTAGCTGCTGGCTTTAACAGCGAAAATCTGGAAAGGATGTAGCTACGGTCTGTCTCCGTCTCATATTTCTTACGGCCTATTTGAGTGTAGAATCTCAAAGCTACATCAGTCTATGCACTATTTAGTGGTGGAACGGGTCACTTCACTTCATTACAGGATGCAGCAAAATGTGCAGCACTTTGTGACAGTGCAGTACAAGCATCTGTACACACTAAATGTGGTTAAGATCATATCGAAGTCCAAACGACCGTTTCCGATCATATTTCATATTAGCTTTGTAGTTCCAGCTTTTAGGGTTCAAACCCTTGCCTTTAACGGAACTTGATTATAAGCTCGAGTTTATACTAGATTAACTTTATGCAACGCACTAAACTGGTCTGCTGTACTATGGGTCAAGTGTACCAAACAAGCTGTCTGGTCGTTTCCACGACTAGACTGAGTCAATAAGGTTTTCCACATCCAGCCAAGGTTTCCCAACTGCTGAAGTGGTCAATGTGTTCTCTGACTGGCTGGCGGGCGGGGATTTCGCAGGGTTCAAATCGCCAACAGTGCCGATGTTTGTGATTCGCCAGTTCGATTGAGATGGGCTTCCGTCAAGGGCTTCTATGGAAAAACACCTAGAAACAAAGTGACGGCCTAGAAACCTCCCGTTCGAAGAATCTCAACTCGAATCCGTTTCAGAAATGACTAGTTTCTAACTTTTACCAGATTATGGAAATTAAATGTTCGATACAAATCACTACATCACTACATTTTTCATTTCGGGTGGATGGGGTTGGGGATTTGAAGCGGAGAATATGAGGGAGTTCTGGTTCCAATCACGGAACTCGGATCGAGGGGCTTAAATAGTCAGAACGGGCGACTAGAGTACGCATTACCTCCTATATTTACGTCACAAAATACCCTCTCCTCTGACAGTTGTCAGCCGTCAAGAATTGCTGGTTACACCCACGTATGGTCCCTGTCTATTCCCTGTATGTTGTCTCCCATTGTCGGAAACCAAATGCGGCTCGCATCGCATCGCAAGCATTTGACGGGACGATTCGTGGCTGCCATAGGTGGAACAGCTCTAGGCTGTTAGAGTTTCTGAAGGCTAAAGCTTGGAGAGTCTAAAATGACAAGGTAAACTCAGTAGCATAAATTCTGTAAATTTCAGAAAGCAAGAATGACATACAAGGGACGAAGGACTACTCTTATACACACTTCTATGACTATGGCGCCTTGAGAAGGTCGTTCAGGTCGCCATTAATCCTATCTCTGCTGTCACCAGCAAGGAACGGCTATGTACAAGCAACGATAACAATCCTATGCTGGATCCTAGCTGTTTATATAGAAATATGCAAAGTACAATCATGAGATGGATCTAGAAAGGTATTATCTGACTTGGTCTTCGACTTCATGATGATGGCACTTAGATCTTGTGGTGCTGGAACGTAGTTACAGCTGTATGGCGTGACTTGTTGCTCTGCTGTCGTGAAGATGCCCTTGTGCTTTCTTCTATGCTGCTTTGCTGGTTGGGAATTCACGTGTGCTTTGAGAAATCCCGAAGCGCACATTTCAGGTTGAGATTTCCAACCTCGAATTTGACATTTCAGGTTGGAGTTTTGGCTAAGGTTACAAGTTCGCTAGTGAGCGAACTTTCCTGTGGCGAGTTCGCCTTCGCCCTGTAACAATAGGTCAGGGATTTTATACATAAAACTTGCTCGACTCACATTCTTCACATCAGTTGGTCACTTCCAGCCGAGCTCTAAGCAGCAAATCCCTCATTTTTTTCCTGCTCTCCCATCTGCTTGGCCACTACAGAATCAATTTCTCCTCGACCAGTAGTAACTGCTACTTTTCTCACAAATTATATGTCAAACATTATATATGTTGTATTTGTGTAGGCTACAGTGGGTTAGCCTTTAGGGGGTACACAATTCTAGGGTTAGGTACTTGTACTCCCTTTCCTTTCTAGTCCAACACTTCTTCTTTCTAACATTATACTCCCCTAGACCGCCCTCCCTCTTAGCTTTCTTTCCTTCTTGACACATCGTCCCTTCCACCTGGTGTGTTGATCACGTCCCCGGCCATGGCGAGATTCGCAGTGCTACTTGCTATCGTGTTGGTGCTGGCAGTGCCGTCGCACGTCGCCGCCGCACCCGGAGGATCGACGAGCACCAACACGACCGGAGGGACGGGCAGCAACAGCCCCACGGGCGATCCGTGCGTACCGGCGCAGAACATCACGTGCTCCACTGCGTGCAACTCGGGCAACGCCGGCGTGTACTCGCGCTACTCGCTACCTGCGTTTCTGCAGAATGCGACGTGTCCGCCAGAGTACAACAACGCCATCAGTACGAGCCGCCTCTACTGCTACGACGGCATGAGCCTGCCGGCGTGCTGCAACAAGTGCATCAGCCCACGCACGTGCACCTACTGGCAATTCTACCAACCGTAAGTTACTCTCCCACTCCACTCTGTTACGTTATTCAAAATGGAACATCCGCGTGCACAGTAAACATATCATTCATGCAATGAGGGATTCTAGTGTGAAGAATGAGGAATGAATGAACTAGCAAGCAGGTGGGTACAAGTAGGAAAACCTAGAAATGTTGTACCCCATATAGTCTACCCCACTACAGCCTACACAGACTATAGCATATAAGTTTGACACACCCCCATAGGCAAAGTGGGGGAGAACAAGAGGTCACAAGACCAGTCAAGCAAAGCAAAGCAAGCTCAGGGTGGATCACAACGTCACCACACAATCCGAGCACAAGAGCAAGGCCAAAAGGCTAGTTCACATGCAAGATCATATATAAAGGTAAACAGGCAAGTGCAGGTATAGAAAGATCGCAGTACAAGCAAGGTCAAGAAGTGAGCAAGTGAGGCCAAGTAGGCACAAGACCTAGCATCGTACAGAAGCGCTGATGATCACCAGGCGGAAGTGCCTTGGTAAAGATATCAGCAGTGTTGGCCTCAGAGGCCACGTAAGCAAGGCGCAGCTGACCACGCTGCTGCAGCTCACGAGCAAGGAAGTAGCGAAGAGCAATGTGCTTCGTTCTGTGCTCCAGTCTGTGCTCCCGACACAAGGCCAGCATGGCCTTGTTGTCTACGTACAGAACTAGAGGAGAACGAGGCGGCTCTCCTAGGTCAGTCAGCAGGTAGGTGAGCCAGCGTAGCTCCTGTGCAGCCATGGCCCCCGCGTAGATCTCAGCCTCACAGCTGGAGCCGAGAACAGAAGACGAGCGGGTAGACCGCCACGAAACAGAGCCGGAGCCAAGGCTGAAGGTGTAACCCTGTGACGACCGCTGCGTAGCCTGGTCGTCAGCCCAAGAAGCGTCTGCGTGACCTGTGAGGACCACTCGACGTCGCCCTCCAAGCACTAGCCCCATGCCCGACGTACTGCACAAGTAGCGCAACACCCTCTTCGCTGCAGCCATGTGCTCTGGTCGGTGTCTCCCAGGAGCAACATAGCGTGCCAAGATGCTAAGAGGGTATGCAAGGTCAGGTCGTGTGCAGGTCATCAGGTACATGAGGCAGCCAACAAGCTCTGGGTACGGGCCACTCGGCTCTACGGACTCATCCGAAGGCAGAGCTGAGAGCGAGTGGCGAGTAGACAGAGGAGTGGCCTGAGGCGAGGAGTACGTGAAGTCGAAGCGCTGAAGGACCTGCTGCACCATGTGTGACTGAGTCAGGGTAATGGTGCGCTGTGCTCTGTCTCGGATGATCTGCAAGCCAAGGTAGCTGCGCATTTCACCCAGGTCTGTGCACGTGTGTCTCTTCTGCAGCTCGGACTTCACGTGGGCGAGTCCAGCAGTGTCAGCAGTGGCAAAGACCAAGTCGTCGACGTACACGAGGATGTAGAACGGCGGCAAAGAGGTGTCGGTGCGTAGAAACAGCGACGGGTCGGCAGTAGAAGGAGCAAAGCCAAGTGCCGCAAGTGTAGTCCTCAGTGTGTCGTGCCACTCACGGGGCGCCTGGCGGAGACCGTAGACTGGCCGCCGGAGGCTCCACTGGGTACCAGGAGGAAACGACCCAGTGAAGCCAGGTGGGCGGCGCAGCCAGATCTCCTCGTGCAGGCTGCCCTGCAAGAAAGCTGTGCTGAAGTCAAGAGAGTGAAGCTCGTAGTCGCGCTGAGCGGCTATGTGCAGCAGCACCCGAAGAGTGGTCATCTTCGGGGTGGGAGAGAAGGTCTGAAAGTAGTCAACTCCCTGCCGCTGACTGAAGCCTCGAGCCACGTAACGCGCCTTGAAGACAGGCGGAGAACCCGGCGGCCGCTTCACCCTGAAAATCCACATGCCACTGACGATGTTCGCCCCAAGTGGGGGAACCTCGTCGACGTAGGTGCCTGTGGACTTCCAGGAAGCCATCTCTGCGTCCATGGCTGACTGCCACTGTGAGGAGTAGGGACTCTCGATCGCCTCAGCGTACGATCGAGGAGTCGGGATGTCTGGTGCATCCGGGTCTCCCTCAGGGGCAATCAGCGTGGACACGAGATGAGGCAAAGCAGCAGCAAAACACTGGAACTCCTCCTGCCTGTCCTCAAGGACGGCCGTGCTAAGAGCACACTCACCCCCGACGGACGGAGGACAGACAGACTCAGACTCAGCAACAAGACTAGCAGAGTAGTCGAGACGACAGCGTGCAGCA